GGGGGGGCCCCACTGCCCCCCCGCCCCTCCCCCAGCCATGGCGGGGGTCTCTTTCGAGGAGTTCTCGGGGTCACTGGGATGAACTGGGAGCACTGGTGGGTTACTGGGATGAACTGGGGGGGTCACTGGGAGCACTGGGATGAACTGGGGGGGTCGCTGGGAGCACTGGGATGAACTGGGAGCACTGGGGGGTTACTGGGATGAACTGGGAGCACTGGGGGGTTACTGGGATGAACTGGGAGCACTGGGGGGTTACTGGGATGAACTGGGAGCACTGGGGGGTTACTGGGATGAACTGGGAGCACTGGGGGGTTACTGGGATGAACTGGGAGCGCCCCTCCCCCAGCCATGGCGGGGGTCTCTTTCGAGGAGTTCTCGGCGCCGCCGGGGGCGGGGCTGGCTCTGGAGCCGCTCTTCGGGGGGAACATTCTGGAAAGCGAGGGCGAGCCCGAGGCGGGGCCGGAGGCGGGGCCCGAAGGGGGCGGGGCCTCCACCGCGCCCCTCCCCCCACCTCAGCCCCGCCCCCGGCGCGGGGGGAGGGGCGAGGGGGAGGGGCCGGAGCTGCGGCGGCGCCGGCTGAAGCTGCAGGTGCTGGGACGGCGCTGCCGGGAGATCCGACAGGTCAGGACACGCCCCCGGGACGGGGACACGCCCCTTTTACACCTGGACACGCCCCCGGGACGGGGACACGCCCCTTTTACACCTGGACACGCCCCCGGGATGGGGACACGCCCCTTTTACACCTGGACACGCCCCCAAACACACAGGACACGCCCCTTTCAGAGATGGACAGGGACACACCCCCTTGGGCATGGACACACCCCTTTTTCACCTGGACGTGCCCCTTTCCTGGGACACGCCCCTTTTACTGCTGGCCACACCCTCAAAACACAGGACACGCCCCTTTTACCACTGGTCACGCCCCCAAACCCATGGGACACACCCCTTTTACTGCTGGCCACGCCCCCAAAACCCAGGCCACGCCCCTTCCTTTGGCCACGCCCCTTTTTATTGACCACACCTTTTCTCTTGACCTGCATCCTTTTCTTGGCCACGCCCCTGGGTTTAAGCCCTGCCCTCACTGTCCTGGCCACGCCCCTTTCCCTGGCCACGCCCCCCAGGTGTGCCGTGCCCCTCCCCCAGGTGAACGCGCGGGCGCTGCAGAGACTGAGACAGGTACAGAGAGTGACCCGGAGACTGCAGCTGGAGCGCAGGTGGGGACACACCTGGGACAGGTGAAACACACCTGGGGACACCTGAGATACACCTGGGGACACCTGAGACACACCTGGGGACAGCTGAGACACACCTGGGACACCTGAGATACCTGGGGACAGCTGGGGACACCTGAGATACACCTGGGGACAGGTGAAACACACCTGGGGACACCTGAGACACACCTGGGGACAGCCCTGAGACACCTGGGGACAGCTGGGGACACCTGAGATAAACCCAGACACACCTGGGGACAGCTGGGACCTGCCCTTGGACCCGCCCCAAAGGGACACACCTGGGCCACACCCACACCTGGTCACACCCATAAAGGCCACGCCCACCTCTGACCACGCCCACACCCGGCCCCGCCCCCGCAGGTTCCTGATGCAGGTGCTGGACTCGCACGGGGATCGTTACTGGCAGGGACAGCTGACGGTGCTGCTGCAGGTGAGCACCCCAAAAACACCCCAAAACACCCAAAAACACCCCAAAAACACCCGAAAACACCCAAAAACACCCCAAAACACCCAAAAACACCCCGGAAACACCCCAAAAACACCCGAAAACACCCCAAAACACCCCAAAAATCCCCCCAAAGTCCCCCAAAACTCCGCAAAATCTTCCCAAACCCCCAAAACTCCTTCCAAAATCCCCCCAAAACTCCCCAAAAAACCCCAAAATCCCCCAAAACCCACCCAAAATCCCCCAAATCCTTCAAAAAACCCCAAAATCCCCTAAAACTCCCCAAAGCCCCCTAAATCTCCCCCAAAAGTACCCAAATCCCTCAAAAATCCCCCGAAAATCCCCCCAAAATCCCTCAAATCCCCCTCAAAATCCCCCCAAAATCCCTCAAACCCCCCCAAAATCCCTCAAATCCCCCCAAAATCCCTCAAATCCCCCCAAAATCCCTCAAACCCCCCCAAATCCCTCCCAGACCCCCCCCTGACCCCCCCAGTTTCCCGTCAGGACGAGGGGGGTCCCCCCGGGGGGGTCCCGGGCGCCCCCACCCCC